TTGAGGAGGGCGTCGCCCCTTCTTGCGCGGGGGCCATTCCGCCGTTGTCCCATTTTTTTTTAAACTTCAACCAATCAAAATTTAACACACATCCACACCTCATCACATTTCTTCACACTCAACATAACACATTTTTCATCACTCCACATCATACATCTTTAAACTACGTCAAGTCCCCTGGCAAGCCCCCCATTACACATGGCCTAATAAGGAATGGTTCCCCAAATATACAGTGATCTGAAAATCGCCCCAGTATGTTGCACTGCAATTCCATGCACGAACATCGTAATGACTAGAGTAAATTCCCAAAATCGTACTCAATAACTATATGTTATTCCAAATTAGTCCCCCAAAATAACTAATTATCGAGATGATACTCTTTAATTGAGAATAATGCTCAGTTCAGTGCCCCCTACTATTGGTCGTTAAAACATCGTGAAAATGATGTTGAATCTTATCCTACTTTCCTAAAATGGTACTTTCTAATCGGGTATTTTCGCAAATTAGACCATTTTCAGAGTAAAAATACATTAATTATGGAAAAATATTTTAAATTGTATAGTAGATATAAAGAAGTAAAGAAATTTTATAGTACAAACTCGATAATTAGTTACTTCTCCGGACTAACTAGACTCATACCCGTGGGTTGCACTGTCTAATTATAAACTATATAATTAGGGAAAGAATTGATGAAAGAAAATGATAAAAGTAAATTATAATTAAATTATAATAATAACATACTCCCTCCGTCCCAAAAAGTCTTTCCTGTTTCATTTTTTGCGCATCCCATAAAACACTTCTACAGACATCTAAAATGCCTAAAATTTACAACATTTCTTCCTTATTGTGGGTAGAAGTTATTTTGAAAGTCTTTTTGGCATTCAAGGCGGGATAGAAGTGTTTTATGGGATGCGCAAAAAATGAAACAGGAAAGACTTTTTGGGACGGAGAGAGTATAATCAAATATTAAAAAATTGTGAATACAATGCATGTTTATCATGAAAGCTCACTTTCATCGAATCTCCGCCTCTTGTCCAATCCGAAAAAAAGTAGACACGAACGACTCGTAACATAAGCATCCAAGTGGTTCGACTATTGTCAATATCAGCAAGCACATTCCACATACTCTTTGAATGTATTGAGACATTATTTGAAAGTGCTGGTATTTTGGATGAGAGGTATCAAATGTTTGGAGTATAAGTAGTATATTAATTGAACAATCTTGATTGAGTAAATCTATTTATTTAATATGGTTTGACATAAAGTATGTGTGGAGCGAGGCACCAATTTTACTACGCACGCGATTCCATAGCAATATACTATCCATTTATTTATCTTGATTTGACATAAAGTTTGCATCGTGCCACACACCAATATTACTATGCACGCGGTTTCATATCAATACACAATCCACTTATTTATTTTGATTTGACATAAAGTTTACATGGAGTCATGCATTAAGTTTACTATGCACGTGATTCCATAGAAAAACAATACCCATTTATTTATTTTGATTTGACATAAAGTTTGCATCGAGCAACGCACCAACATTACTACGTACACGGTTCCATATCAATACACTACCCATTTCTTTATTTAGGTTTGGCATAAAGTGTGCAACGAGTCACGCAACAACTTTACTACGCACGTTGTTACATACGAATACACTAACCATTTATTTATTTTGATTTGACATAAAGTTTGCATTGACCCACGCACAAACACTACAACACACGTGGTTCCCTATCAATACACTACCCATTTATTTATTTTGACTTGACATAAAATTAACATCAAGTCACGCACCAACTTTACTACGCACGCAGTTCCAAAATTGGTCCCAATCAGGGAGACTGCGCAGACGGCAGTCTGCGCCTCCCAGCGCCCTAGCCGATTGTGAATCAATTCTTACGCAGAACCAGCTCATCATTGTCCTCTTCCCCTTCATCAACTCCTATATAAGGAGTACTCAAAACCTTCAAACATGTATCATTCCTTCTCAAAATTAGTCCATAAGAATCTTGAGAGCGAGGAGAGTAGTATGGTGTTGTTGGTTGCCGCCGAAGTCGCCAGAGTTGGGAGTAATCGCCACCACAAGTTTCGCCAGAAAATTCTCAAAACCTCCGATAAACTTCGAGGTAAGCCCGTAGATATATCTAATGACTAGAATGTTCATATAGATCGTTTCTACATTCATAAACGGTCGTTTGGTTGAGTTTTCTGTTTGACATGTTTGAAAAACCAAGAATCATAAACCTTGAAATCGTTGTTAAAACTTCGAACTAATGGTACCAAAATGATCTATGAACCTTGGAGAACCTTTCTATATACTTTAATTGATGTTTGGTGACTAAAAATGACATTTCCGGAAGTTGGCTCGAGGTAGAAGATGATGCAAAATCGATTTTTCATAAATAAATCGATTAGACTTTCGTCTGCTGAAGAAAACGAATCTAGTAGAGGAAAAATCGATTTTTATACTATAAAATTCGATTATTAAGTATAAAAATCGATTATTGAATAATAAAAATCGAGTTTTACATTTTTCCACTAAAGAAATTGAAACCAGTAGTAATTAATCGATTTTCTTATCATATATTAATCGATTATTCTTTAGAAAACATGGTTTTTGAGCTATGAAACCCTATTTTTGATACCAATTAATTATGAACAATATAAATATCATTTTTTTACAATAAAAATGATGTTTTTGACATATAAAACATTATATGATGCATGACGGTAAGTTTGGGTGTTAACACTTGAGACTAGGCCGCTTTTTTTATTAAATGTTATGTTAAATGGTCAATATGATGAATAATCGTTATGCATAATTATGCATGATAAACCTACTGATTAGAATGATTATTGATGATTAAATCATGATTGAAAATGAATATAATGGTGATCATGAAAATGGTGTAGATTATTAAGGCTATCTAGAAGACCTCTAGAATAGATCTCCTATTAGTATGGATTTGTGAAACATGAATATTCGGTGATTGGATAAAAATGTAATAACAGAATTCGTAGACCAAACTAGAGGATCACTCGTTTGGGAATGCCCAATCCAATGTTGATCATTCGCTATATTGTTGTTGCCTTAACTGACTACAGTTAAGTGTCCGAAATCATTTGCCTTAAACTAATGATAGTTTAAGTGTCTGATTGCCTTAACTGACTATAGTTAAGTGTCCGAAATTAATTGCCTTAGACTAATGATAGTTTAAGTGTCTCATTAATAATTGCCTTTTAAGAATATGGTTATGGGAATTATGATCTCGCCTTAGACTAAGAATAGCTAAGAGCATTGTTATTAACTGGCCTTAGACTAAGAATAGCTAATTGCCTTTTAAGAATATGGTTATTGGAACACACTTTGTACGATAAACTAAAGTCGTGTTCATTTCTGACAGGTTTTGATAATTGCCAAACCGCCGTCGATATGAAGAGTTTCGTTGAATAACTCAAGGCGTGAAGAATAGCTTAGAACAAGACCAAAATAACTCAAGGACAAGATCAAGAATTGAAGACTTAGTCGAGTCGGTCTTTTGTGATCAAAACCGACAATAAATTCAAGTCTCAGTTCTCAAAGAGTCAAAACAATTTTTACAAATCATAAAATATTTTGTATGCATCAAAATAAATATTTCTGATGATTTTTTATTGATTAAAATCTCTGGTCCTTGCTCGGAACCTAAACCACCTAAGTCAGCGTTCGGCGTTCGGGTTTCGGCGTTCGGTTTTTGGCGCCCGAACCAACTCCGTGGTTTTCAACATTTTAAACCCTGTTTTTACCTCTGAACATTTTTAAAATGTTCCCAAATAATTATTTTATAAAAACCACATTTCTATCTTGGTTAATCGGTCTAACACGTGAAAAACGGTCAAAACCGTACGCACGTGATATACGACCTTAGAGACTTGGTTTTTACCGAACAAGTCTTGTTTTCACTATTTTTATGCCATATACAATGTTTTTCAAACTTGGTTTTTACTTTTCGGAACACTTCGTTTTTGGACCTCGGTTTTTCAAAACGGGTTTTAGCTGACTAGACTTTAGCTGGGTGATAATCGACTATCACCTTAGTGACAATCGACTATCAGCCCCTGCAGCTTTGAACATCCAAAGTTCTAAAGCACGCAATAATCGATTATCACTTATGCAATAATCGATTATCAGTCTTTGCAGCCAAGACCCAGAATCTTCTGAGAGGACCAATAATCGATTATCACTTGTTGACAATCGATTATCTGGGTTACCGTAGTCCTCCAACGGATAGAATTTTAAATTTTTGGACAAGGAATCTTTGGATAATCGACTATCAAGCTTTGACAATCGACTATCACACTGTGTCTCTGAAAAATTTGTCTTCATCCTGTTAGAAACTCTAGCAATGGGTTTATCCCATTTTGAGCTATAAAATGGCACCCAAATCCTCTCATTTTACACACAATTCTTCAAGATTTCAATACTCTTTCATTGCATAAGCATTCCTATTTTTCTTAGCTATTTGAGAGCCAATTCTTGAAGAAATTGTCGTGTTCTTGAGCGTTTACTAGTTCACTCATATCTACTCTTTGTGAGAGTTTTATTCCTAAGTGTTTAAGTGTTTTCATACACTTTAAGAGAGGTTGTTCCCTTGTTGTAAACTCGAAGGAAGTTCCTTGTTCCTTCGTGAGAAGTCTTGGAGTGCGGTATCTCCGAGCAATGGCGTTGAGGCTCGTGTGACTCGGGTTCTCAAGTTGTATTGGTTTGTTAAGCACTCTTAAGCTTAACGGAGTTAGTGTAGCTCAAGAGAGTCTCTCGGGAGGCTGGATTAGCCACACATTGTGGTGAACCAGGATAAAATTTGGTGTGCTCCTTCCTTACGCTCATTACTTTAACGCTCTCGTTTTAATTTCCTGCTATTTTTTTTTAAACGCTATTCACCCCCCTCTAGCGTTGGGCCTTTATTCTAACAATTGGTATCAGAGCCATACTCTCTGAAAGACTTAACCGTTTGAGAGAAACGATCAATGGTTTCTACTCAAAACTTATACGCAGGTTTAGGAGAAGGGCAATCCACCATGAGGCCTCCATTATTTGATGGAACGAATTACACATATTGGAAGGAGCGAATGAGAATTTTCATCCAATCCAACAACTTTTTCCTATGGAGAATTATCAAGAATGGGGAAGAAGTGCCCATGAAGAAAGTTGGGGAAACCACCGTTCCCAAAACCGAAGACGAATACGATGCGCAGGATATCAAGAAAATAGAGAACAACGCCAAGGCTATCAACATTCTCTATTGTGCAGTAAATCTGGATGACTACCGGAAAATTTCATGTTGTTCCACCACTAAGGATATGTGGGATAAGCTCGAAATCACGTATGAAGGTACGAATCAAGTCCGAGAAGCTAAGATAGATTTTCTAACCCATGAGTATGAATTATTTCATATGAAGGAAAACGAGAAAATCGACAATATGTTTGAACGATTTTTAAAAATCGTAAATGACCTTCATGCCCTCAAGAAGACATATACGGACAAGGAGCTCGTAAGAAAAATCTTAAGGAGCCTCACACCGGAGTGGCGTTCCAAGGCCGATGCCATTTAAGAATATATCGGCATCACCAACGTCACCATCGACGGACTTAGAAGTAATCTGAAAACCTATGAGGCTACCATTCTTTACCCCTCTCTAGGTGAACAAAAGAAGAATGGGATTGCCCTCAAGGCATCTACAAGCCAAGAAGAAGACTCGAGTGACGAAGACGAGTTCAGGATCATGCTCAAGAAATTCCATAAGTTCATGAGCCAAGAGTATGAACGGAAAGGAAAGAAGCAAGGAAGTCCACTTAAATGCTATGGGTGTGGAGAAGTTGGGCATATAAAACCAAAATGTCCAAACGCCAAGAACAAGAAGAAAATGTTCAAGAAGCATCGAGCCTACATCTCATGGGGAGGTGATTCCAGCGACGAGTCATCGGAAGGCGAAGAAAATGAGAGCGCCAACATTTGCCTCATGGAACACGAGGAACCACCGGAAGAGGTATGTACCACTTCTAAAGATTCCTATACTTTTGATGATGTACAAGAAGCCTTTAATGAACTTTATGATGAATATGTCAACGCTTCTAAAATTAACAAGGATTTGAAGAAACAACTTACTTCCATGGAGAAGGAAGTTGATAAACTATCAAAAGATAATGAAAAACTTAAAGAAGATAATAAGTTTTTCGGAAAAAGAAGCGCCGACAAACCGGAAAGTTAAAAATGTAGTTCTTGTATATCACTTAAGGATCAAGTTGCAAAACTTGAAGGAACTTTGAAGAAGTTTGGTGTTTCTCATAAAAACCTTAATGATGTTCTTCACAATTTGCAACTTACTAAACATGGCTTAGGTTTTGAAAATGAATTTAATAATAAGGAAAAAGTTGAGCAACCATCTAGGAAACCTAAAGCTCAACTTAGGAATAATGAAAATCAAGAAAATAGACAACCTAGAACAATTAGGAACACTAGACCACCTAGAAAGAACACTAGGATGAACAATGGTCAAGTTAGAAAACCTAGCAACAATTATCAACCTAGGAGAATGCATAATCCAAATGTTATTTGTCATTATTGCAATAGGGTAGGTCATATAGCACCCGTGTGTTTTAGTAGGCATAGGCATTACACGTATAACAAAACACACACTTTGCATGGAACTAACCTAATGAAATCCTTTGAAAAAGGATATTCGAACTCTAACCAATCCCTGCAGGAATCAACGCAAAAGAAACCATATTACTTCTTCTATTATGATGAAAAGAAGAAGATTCACATACCACTTCCGGAATCCACACAAATCAAACCGAGGTATAGACATTCGGTTCGAGTAGACTAGAACCCGCCAACCGCAAAACGACGAGTTGGCCAAGGTAACACTTAAACACGCGTGTTGGTACATGTGTGTGTGTGTGTGTGTTTGCATACCATGTGTATGTGATTATGGGTGCGTCTGTTTATTAGTTTAAAAAGTCGTGTTACTAATCCTCAAGGACCCAAAAGACCAAACGGGTACCAAAATGTTTTCATTGTAGGCGTTGAAGTCAGGGGGAATGTGAACAATCAATTTATAGGCTTGTGATAATCGACTATCACAACCCACAGGAGTTGGAGCAAAGAAACTGAAGGAGCCAACAATCGATTATCAACATAAGGATAATCGACTATCACTGCCCGCAGGAGTTTGTAGCAAATCAACCACAAAACTTCAACAATCGATTAATTCAAGTCATGATAATCGATTATATAGGGCTGTAGAAAATTCTCTGAAGTCAAGTGCAAACTTCAACAATCGATTTCCAACAACAAGGAAATCGACTATCAAAGCCTGCAGTTTCTTTGGCGGAGAATATGAAGACTCAAATAATCGATTTACAAGAAGTGTAAATCGATTTACAACGGCGATTTTTCAAAAATCTGACCGTTACAGAGACGTTGGAACTGCATTCAAGGCACCTTTTTGACTTCCCAAACGCATATCAGGCCTCTTCCACTATATATTGGTGATATCCTTTCATTTTTTACTCACTCAAATCACAATTCCTTCATATATTCATCATCATTTCATCCTTCTTGCAATTATTCTTCAGTGTTCTTGAAAAATCCCTGCAAATTTCTCTTCTTTGTGTCTTGCTCTCCCTCTCTCTCTTTGTTGATATGGCAGGAGGTCAAAGAAAACGATCTTGCACCGGGAAGAACGTTGCTTCCTCCTCGGCTCCTCCTCCACCACCGGCGCACAAGTACCTCGATGGGTCGTTCCTTTGGTTCAACGACCGCGCAGAGGCGACGCGGTTCTCGGAGAAGTTTGAGCACCGGGAAATTCTCCCTCCCCGATTCTCCACCGCCCGCTTCATTCATGATTCCATTCCACGTGAGGCACGGGTTATCCTCGAACGTGGAAACTTCCTCAACCTCCTCTACATCAAGAAGGCTCATTATCACCCTTTTCTTGTTCGAGCTTTCTACTCAAACTTGACAAAGGATGAGGACGGAGCGTTGATTTCTAACGTCAACGGGGTGGACATCTATTTGAATGAGGAAAACATTCAAATCCTCACCGGGCTTCGTCGGGACGGACAGGATCTTGGGCTCTACGTCGGAGAAGAAGGAGCGCGGTTCAACGAGACCGCCCTCTTGGAGGAAGTGGGCATCCGAAAATTCGTCCCCACTCCCCAACAGCGGCGCCCTATGATTGCTTCCATGAGTCCCGTGTTTCGATTCATTTTTTATGTTTTGACACGGATTCTCAAGCCTAGGAAGTTCAATCACACCACTCTCTCCCAGGAGGACACGGAGAAAATTCATGCGATGATTCACAACGCCAATCTCAATTGGTTTAAATTTGTGATGACTCACATGTTCACCGCCACCTCCGACAACCGGCCGCTCCCCTACGCCCTCCTCGTCATGGCGATTCTTGAAGAGTATAACATCAAAACCGATGTTGGGCCAAAGATAAAGGGGATAAAGCATTGGGATATTGATGAATCCTCTTTCCACTCAGGCACCGATGAGACTCCGTTCCGACAGCCTCGTCCATGCCGCCAACCGAGAGCCACTGCCTCGACCGCCGCCGCTTCGACCAACCCTTCTCTTGCCGAGCAAATGGCAGCCTTGACCGCCACTCTCTCTCGGATCGACACCAACGTCTCCCAAACGGCACAAAATGTAAATATTTTGAGCCGAGAGCTTCACGGGTACTTTGACTTTGTCAATTACCCTTACGCTCAAATGGTCCCCTACGCTCCTTCACCGAATGTCGGGGGTGCACCAAGCGGGACTAATAACGTTGGTAGGGACGACGTAGTGGATGAATAAGAAGAGGAAGAAGAAGCCGAAGATGATGATGATGATGATGGCGATGGTGATGAAGATGAAGACGATGAAGAAGAAGACATTGACGAAGACCAACTTTTCAATGATCTTTCACCGGACTTCTAGAGCTCTAGCTCCATTCCCTTCTCTTCTTTAATCTTTTTCTGCTTTTTAAAATTTGTTTCCGTTATGTACTCCACTATTTCCCTTAAATAATTAATACAAATCTTTATGGTTTTTGTTATCAAAAATCTTTTTGTTAATGTCAAAATGGGGAAGATAAGGGCTATGCATACATTAAAAGTGAATTTTTTATTAAGGGGGAATTTTTTTTCAAAAAGATCAAAACCCTATGCATATCTCCGTCTTGTTTGCCATTATTAAAAAGGGGGAAATTGTTGGAACACACTTTGTACGACAAATTAAAGTCGTGTTCATTTCTGACAGGTTTTGATAATTGCCAAACCGCCGTGGATACGAAGAGTTTCGTTGAATAACTCAAGGCGTGAAGAATGGCTTGGAACAAGACCAAAAAGACTCAAGGACAAGATCAAGAATTGAAGACTTAGTCGAGTCGGTCTTTTGTGATCAAAACCGACAATAAATTCAAGTCTCGGTTCTCAAAGAGTCAAAACAATTTTTACAAATCATAAAATATTTTGTGTGCATCAAAATAAATACTTCTGATGATTTTTTATTGATTAAAATCCCTGGTCCTTGCTCGGAACCTAAACCACCTAAGTCGGCGTTCGGCGTTCGGGTTTAGGCGTTCGGTTTTTGGCGCCCAAACCAACTCCGTGGTTTTCAACATTTTAAACCCTGTTTTTACCTCTGAGCATTTTTAAAATGTTCCCAAATAATTATTTTATAAAAACCACTTTTGTATCTTGGTCAATCGGTCTAACACGTGAAAAATGGTCAAAACCGTACGCACGTGATGTACGACCTTGGAGACTTGGTTTTTACAGAACAAGTCTTGATTTCACTATTTTTATGCCATATACAATGTTTTTCAAACTTGGTTTTTACTTTTGGGAACACTTCGTTTTTGGACCTCGGTTTTTCAAAACGGGTTTCAGCTGGCTAGACTTTAGCTGGGTGATTATCGACTATCACCTTAGTGACAATCGACTATCAGCCCCTGCAGCTTTGAACTTCCAAAGTTTTGAAGCACGCAATAATCGATTATCACTTATGCAATAATCGATTATCAGTCTTTGCAGCCAAAACCCAGAATCTTCTAAGAGGACCAATAATCGATTATCACTTGTTGACAATCGATTATCTAGGTTACTGTTGTCCTCCAACGGATAGAATTTTAAATTTTTGGACAAGGAATCTTTGGATAATCGACTATCAAGCTTTGACAATCGACTATCACCCTGTGTCTCTGAAAAAATTGTCTTCATCCCGTTGGAAACTCTAGCAACGGGTTTATCCCATTTTTGAGCTATAAAATGGCACCCAAATCCTCTCATTT